CGCAAATAATAAAAAATAAGTTTATTTTGAATTTTAATAAACTAAATTTAATAAACTGAATTTTAATAAACTTATTTTTCGAATTCATGCTGCAAATAAAAAAAAAAAATAAGTTTATTTTGAATTTTAATAAACTAAACGTTCACCAAAAAACTTTAGTGAAAAAAATCGAAAAAACGAACTACAAACATATCAACGCCAAACATTCGGTAGAATTTATAGAATATTGTAAAAATTATGGTCTATTACCAACATATATATGTGTGTACGTATGTATGTATCGATTGATACATCTACAAAAATTGCGGAAATAACTTTTTCGCGCGTGGCACTGATTTTGTTTGCGATAATATTTCAATCATGAGATGCGCCAATCCTCCGAATCATTTCCACATCGTCTAAGCGTACACGCGTAAATATACACACATGCAATGAATATTATTAACACATACACTTGGGCACGTATATGTATAAGTGAATAATATAAACAGTTATTCAAATCGGGAAAAATTAACTCTCTCTCTCTCTCTTTTCAAAGCAAGAATTAGAGAGATTTGTTTGAAATGAACATTTGATTCTACAAAAACGACAGGTTAAGTTTTCGATCGATTTGGAGTATGACATTACAGACATTAATGTCTGAGCAATACAGACATTACACATATCTAATCTACATACAACGTACGTTCGTATCTATATTTTAGTATTATTTATAATATCATTATCGATAGTATCATGATGATTCAACGGTATCATTCACAAGTAGTAGAAGCACTATCATTCGTACTGTGATCATTGCAGTATAGTGTTCAATCCTATAGTATCAACTACAGTGGTAATGTTCAGAGTATCAAGCTTTCAAGATGATATCAAAGGATTGTTGGATATATGGATAAACTTCCGTAGCTCGTGATTTTATTGATACCTGTTAACAAGTTATTTGTTTCAGTTATTGTCATCTAGTTAAAATATTAATCATATATATATATGTATATATAAGTTTAGCTATATCTTTAGTTAGACAAATTTTTCAGGTACTAATCACTAACATTGATGACCCCAGCGACGACCTTGACCTCGATGAGAACCCAGACCTGATTGGTCAGTTTGATAGACTGGTAGAGCATTTCCTGTTGGTCTACATTCCTCCTTGCTACAGTGAAAACGTTTGCGCGTTCTAACTTCTCTTGTATTTTATCTATGTGGGTATGAAAGTTCACACTTTTGATTTATCAAAAGTGTGTTGAATGCTTGTCTTTAATTTATGGAAAAAAACGAAATTTTTCAAATTTTCTCTATGGAGTGAAGTGTTTTTGGTCAATAAACTTGTTGTTTTAAAGAATGAGATCCATTCATTCATTCGACTCATCCAAACAATCATTCATTCGTTCATCCTTTTGCTGATTGACCGATTAACTGACTGACCAGACGTTAGAAGCATTCCCCCATCGACTTCATGGTGAACCTCATCACTTACCGGTATTTCCTTTAAGGAATGAACGATTGATTGATGGAATGAACGATTGATAAAATGAATGATTGAGTTAATGAATGAATCGTCCGTAACATAAACTAATAATAAATAATTTAATCAAAATAATTAAACTGATCAATTTTTATTAAAATCATTATCTCCAAAACTTTGACCTTATAAAAAAAATCAGTCGTAATAATCACGATCCTGGATCATCACAATCTTCATCATAGCGAATAAACATAGAAACAGACAATTACAATAAGTATACAGACAGAAAAACAAAGCAATACAGGCAAATACAAACAACCTTCCAAGTAGCCAGATACGTCCTCTTGTCCATTCTGCCATCTTCAGTGAATAAAATGTGTATCGGATACAAACAGCTGAAATACAAAACTTCGACGTTCGTTTTTATGGCAACCTGAGTATGTATTTCAATGTGTATAATTGTTTATTGTATCTTGTATTGTATCATGATTGTATACCATATTGAGTTATGTGTATTTTGTTTCTTGTATAGTGTATCTTATATCATTATAGCATTGTATTGAATATATTTGTATTGTATCGGTTGTATCCCATTGTATTATTAATTAAAGTTGAAATGTACTTGAAGGTTATTCAGTGGATTCATCTGCTGCATAGGACCGTTGGTGTTCAGTGGGAGAGATATTGATGTGGATTGAGAGGGGGCCAAAGGGTTGGAGATGTTGATTTGCTGGGAGGGTACTATCCCAAAACTGATCCGAAAATAAAAAATAAATAATAAGTTATAAAAATATATATGTATATGATAAACAAACGCAACTTGCTTTATCTGAAAAGAAAAAAAATCCAAACTCCATAGATAAAACAAAATTACAAATTTCGTCGATAAAACCAAAAAAACATCCCACACAGTAGACAAATAAGAAAACCCCTCTAAAAAATGTTCCTCTTCTTACCTGTTCTTATTCAGCTGAATGGCAAATCCATGTAGAGGTTGACTGGATTGATTATTGAACGTCATATCCATGCTAATTATCTCATTCCTTCGGGCGAAACTCCCACTTATTTCCAATCCTTTACCCTTGCTTACTGTTAACCATACCTGGAATAAATTGGAAATAATAATTAATAACGATAGCTTTTTAATTATTTAAATTAAATTATAAACAAATCATAAATATAAATAAATATTATTATTATTGATAATGCTAACAGTTTGGCTGCTGGCTGGCAATGATTGAAACGTTTCCAAGCCGGGAATGAATGATGGATGGATGGATGGAGATTGGTTGATCAGCGTAGGAGTACCAAGCTGTAATTTTTAAAAAAATTATAATAAAGATAAATTATTTCATAAATATTTCAAATAATTATAGCAATTATTATTCTAACATCTCCAAGTAGGTCAAGGATATTATCACTTATGTGTTGTTGTTGCTGTTGTTGATTGGGTGGAATGTAGCTATTATTGGAGTTGTTTATGTCCAGAAGGTCTCCAATTAAGTTATCAGAATGTACATTAGCCATCTGTTGTTGTTGCTGCTGTTGGTTGTTGTAGTTGTTCGCAGCGTTCGATGACGTCATATCCTGCGTTGGACTGTCGTCTTGAGAGTTGTACCTGCGGAGGAAGAAAAAAAGTGATGTCATCTCTTTATCATCGTACAGACTTCATCATCATTTCTATTTTCGTCCTCATCATCTTCCTTATCATCCTCTTCTTCATCTTCATCCTTCACCAGTAACAACAGACCTGGCAGGCAGGGACCTCTTGAACCCAACCCCACCATTCCGACCCTCGGCAAACGTGTTGGGAGGCTTATGGTAGACAGACGCCAAGCTGGAAATATGGCAAATGAGCTCATCAAGTAAGGAGCCTTCTATGAGGTCGGTCTCCTCGGAGATCAAGGGTTTCTCGGCCAAGACCACCTCCTTCGCAGCTGCCGGATCGGCCGAGAGTAGCCTCCAGTAGATGTAGCCTCTGTCCCTCAGATCAGGATTGTCACTGTCCTAGATGTGTTTGAATGGTTTTGTGAAGTTTAATATAACTTTAATATCAAAACTCGTGTAGGGTAGTTGATGTTTAAGATTGAAGAATTTGAAATAAACACACATGTAAAAACAAACAGCAGGCAAGCAGTCAATCAATCACAAACCTGAGTAGCCAAACTTAAAATCTGCTGTACCAACTCCTGGGTATTAGACGGTCTTTTGAGGAAGAGTTTGACAGTGGCCGTCAAAAGTTGAAGTTGGACATGAGTGTTCTCGTCATGAAATCCCTCAATAAAACTCTCCAGCAAATCGTCTGCATTGTCGATTCGTTCAGCATACTCCCCGATTATCCATATCATTGAAGCTCTTGTGTGGTCACGTGATGAAAAGGCGATCATGTGATGATGATGTGTGAATATATATATATATATATTTCATAAAATGGCTGGAAGAAATTTATATACACCAACAAACCTAGCTTCAGGTTCGTCCAAAGTATCCAAGTTCTCACACAATGTCGATATGATTCCTTCATATTTGTTGGGGTACTTCCTAAAGATATCCTGATATATTTTTGTTTATTCATTTATTCCCTCAAATACTCATCCATCCATTCACTCAATCATTCATTCATCCATAAGCAATTCATTCAACCACGCATTTGAAAACTCAAGAATTCAATCATTTATTCGTACAACCTCTTAATTGCTAATCAATCAGTTAAGATTCATTAAATAAATTTCTTTAAATTCATAACAAAGACCCGACTTTGAGTGAAGAAATTCACCTTGATGACGATGATTGCTTCCTGTACGACATAGTTAACTTTTGATTGGATGAGCTCAAGCAGAGTGGCGACACATCGTTCGGCTGCTTGTTCCACCTTGATGGCGCACCTGCCAATGGCTCTCACAGACTTTCGGACAAAGTCAACATCCACTTCTGTGGCGTACCTTTGAGTAATACGTTCGTCGCATTTTATTGCACTATTATTGCTAATTTTTTGGCCCTGATGTTAAATCTCTCTAACACATTACTGAAATGAAACCATTAAAACTATGCATGCATCTGCTAGGCAGAAACTACCTTCAATTCAAGTTCAGACGCCGCGATCTAAACCAACAAATCCTTTCATCTATATTGCACGTGCATAACCAGTCATCAACACACACACACACACTTACAAACACATCAACAAAGAAGGACATCACTATCTCACTCTTTGAGCTCAGCGAGAACCTGAGCAATGTTAGAGTGGCTGGTCAGTCTGATCATGATGTCTAACTTTTCTAACTTGACATATATGGGGTCATTGTACTTAACAAAGAATACTTTCATTTCATTCTTCAAGATTTCTGGCCTGTTATTTTGAGGTACGTGTGTGTGTGTGTGTACGCGCGTATGTGTGTGCGTGTGAAGTATTAACGCCACACAGGTATAACCCACTTTTTCTGAACGATTAAATTAATATTGCGAAGCGCTACATATTGAATCTCAGCTTCAGCTGACAGAAGAGTAACCAGGGGCGGAGCTAACTTCCTGATGAGCATGACTGACATGTCACTGCCCGGGTCCATCATCTCCATCAACTTCATTATCACCTGATTTCATGAAAATATTTAGATTAAAGTACACCCACGCATACACACACACACACACACACAAATATACGCATACACGCATAAAAAGACAGACACACCTTGATAGCAGAAAGAACAACAGCTGAATTTGCGTGAGCCAATCTAGGTGCAACTCTCTCACAAATGCTCTGAGCTTCCCTCTCGTCTCTAGCCTCATAACTTGAAATGGCATCAAGAATGAATACCTGGCCCCACCTTGCGATTAAAATCATTTTATAAAATTATTACTTATTAAAGACATAAAATATTTATCCGTCAATTATAAAGATATTAGTTTTGTTAAAAAAACATTAACAATGTTAAAGATAGCAACAACAACAACTAACTCAGTGCATTCATTAAGAGCTGTCAATAACTTGTTGATTGTCTGTGTGTTGAATTCAATTATGTGTGAGGTGTTGTTTGGGTTTTCCATGATCTCCGTTATGGCAGCTACTGCATTAGCCACTACCTGTTTGTTGTGAATTAGGGATGAGTCAGTGACAAGAATTATTTAATGAATGTTGATGAATTAACAAACTGAACAGAATCTTATTTCAACAATCCATCCCTAAATACTAATCCAAAAAATTGAAGACCAAACAGCCAGACACAAAAACATCCAAACACAATAACGAACAAACCATAGGATTTGAATCAGAAATAAGATCTCTTAGTGTATCAAGAAAGCCCTGATCTTCAACAAGCTGAGCATTTATATCATACAACTTAGCCACACAAATGGCTGTGGTCTTCCTAACATATGGATCGTCATCCTTCAGGCATTTTCTCAGAGGTTCACAGAGGTATTCAGTTATTTTATCCACCCTGATACATCCCATCGTCCTAACTGCTAGTGCCCTGATAAGTGGATTGGGATCGTCGCAGTCCTGTGTGGGATGTTGTTTGTAATGTTTGTTGGTGGTTTTGGCCGTTTATAAGGGATTTTCAGGTTCATGCTATCATTAATGTTAATTAAAAGACTACCTTAACAAACGTATTGACAGCCAAAATCGCCATATCAGGTTGGCTTTTTGCATAATTCATAAGGTACAGGTAGACCAATTTCTTCAATTCTAAATTGTCTGTCTGCATGCAGTTGACAACGTCAGGAAAGAGAGAGCTGAAGAGTAAAAAACATTTTAAAACAATTATAGTCATAATTATTACTTACAATTTTTATAATTATATTTTTAGAAACAAAAAATTCCCCAACCTGACATCTTTCCCGACAGTCATAGATGCTATGACCTTTTTCACTGCCTCTTTTTTTCGTTCCTTCTTCTCACTGTTCAGCTCCGACTTCAACTCAAATATTTCACCCTTTTTGGTCGTCGTGAAATATTTGGAATCAGTCATCTTCGATGTGGCTGCCTGGAACCAATTCAGCTGCAGGGAAAATGATAAAAAAATAACTAAATAACTAAAATTAATAACTATAAAAATAATTATAAGCAATATGATACTATTATTATAACCAATGCAATTAAGTACATTTCAATATCAACAGGCTTTTACTAACTAGACAGATTAAATACAATAATACCAGTCTATATGATCAAAATTCCTATATTTATATATCTTGAATGAGAATTTTGGTTATGTTTTGCTATACATTATAATTACATTATATATATATATTTATCTACACATATATAAGCAATGAGCATATGTCAATTGTATTATTGATTTTTTTATACATTAGATAAATAATATTTGTGTCTATTTGCATAGTGTACATGACTTGATCAACTTTACATTATGACAGGTAGATGCATGTACTACAAGCAGTGTACAAAATTATATGTAATTCTTGTATATGACATACAACACTGTTTGTATACTATATGTATACACGTACAACATCCAACATGTACTGTTTTGCTAATATACGTATGTCTATGTATAACTGATAACATATAATTATATATGTTATATGTCACATACTTACTTCTTATCTTGACCAAAATTAATTTGTAATTATTATATATTGTAACAGTAGGTATTGCATTTTTATAAGTTGAAAAATCTATTAATAAAAACGTTTTTTTATATATAAATTAAATAAATTATACAACATATATTCTATAGGCATTATTTATTTATATTCATGATAAAACACAAAACAAACACTCCTGTCTTAAATTAAAATCTTTAAAGTATTAATTTTTAATTTAATATTAATTATTAAATTAAATTAAGAAAGAGTCAGCTCAAAACTAAACTTTACCACACACATGTATCAGTCTTACCTTGAATGTTTAGAAGGGCCCAACAAAAATGAAACAACTTGTGTAAAGTAAATTTTAAAATAATTTTCTTATTTAAACTTTCATCTGCCACAGGCTGAAGATGGTGGGTTGACAACAGTGACTATGATAAATGATTAAACTATCAATTTAATCGAGTTAGCGATTGTCAGATTAAATTTTGAAAATTTATTTAAAAATCGACCGGCGATCTAATTAATCAATAAATCAACTAACTGGCTACCTTTAATTAATTAAACAAACAAGAAACCTGCAGACACGTAAAAATGTATAATGGTTAGGTCTAACTAATGTCAACAACTGATGACGTCTCAGATGTAAAAGTGGACAGTGACGCACTATAATTCGTTTCTTGACGTCCAACGGTCGCAATTTGGGAGAATTCAACAAGCCGTAGCTTGTAATTTGCTCGAATATATCGCATATGTGATACATAAAATTGTTACATACGTATAGACACGTATGTCGTAGAATATGATACATATAACCGATTCATAAAAATATATCCTCTTGCAGAAAGTGTTGTTTGATAACAAAATAAATTCAGTTAACAGGTAGGAAACTAACATACAAATAAATATCTATATATGCAGAGAAAAGCACGATATGAAGGCTATATGTATGCGTGTGTGTATTGTGTATATATATCGTTTAAAATGAAAAAATGTATGTATATGTGTGTGTATATAGTTCAAAATGAAGAAAATTGTGTGCAAGCAATATTTGTCAGATGCAATTAAATAAACCTAACATTAAAAAAACATCCTGATGAATAAGCATGAAGTATAAAAATAATTTAGCTACGGCAATAAATATAATTTTCAATTTAAAAAACATAAATATCTATTTGATACATCCAATCATGACAGAGCTGTGATAAGTATGTTAAACATTACTATGTCAAAAGTCACAAAGCTGTCATCCAATGACGTAAAATGAAAATTATGTCACGTTCATTACGTCATAATGTAGAATACAAAGCAAAGTTTAAATACTTTTCGTTGGTAGAGAGAGAGAGAGAGAGAGAGAGAGAGAGAGAGAGAGAGAGAGAGAGAGAGAGAGAAAGAGAGAGAGAGAGAAAGAGAGAAAGAGAGAGAGAAAGAGAGAGAGAAAGAGAGAGAGAGAGACAGAGAGAGACAGAGAGAGGAGAGGTGGCATGCATTTCGGAAAGAAAAACAAATGATTAAAAAATTAATACAAAAATTCTAAAATTAATCAAACATCGGTGAGAAAATTATTAAACAATTAAATAATTATAAAATAAATGAATGAATATATATATATATATAACACGTATTTATCAAATAAATATAAAATAATATCATTGGTAATTAAATCAATGAAAGAGAATTCAAAAACTACAACAACGAAGACGTGAATAGATTAGAAGCATGATAGAAAAATTAAATCATTAAATATACACAGACTAAAATAAACCGACAAACCAAAATATCGATCAATAAATTAATAAAATCAAATAATTACAAATGAAAAACAAACGATAAAATTAAAACAAAAATTAACTCACACGATCTAACTAACTATTATACAGTCTTAATCAGCTTCATGTTTCTGCAAAACGTATCAGTGATGGGGACGCAATTGATAAAATGACAAAATGAACAGCTATAAATAGGCCCTAGATAGAAAACAACCAACAAAATTAGAACTAAACCGACGCAAACGACAAAGCAACCAATCATTAGCATCAACTTGTTTCTCTTATCCACTACACTAATGCTTATATAAGGTAATAGGACGAAGGACAATAGAAAACCAAACAGGAAACCAAACAAATGGGCGAAATTATCTATCATGGGCATAAGACCGAGAAGGAATAGGAACAGCATGAGTCCCGAAAGTTTTAAAATGGCCAGACAGGGTTGCTTCAATATCATTCTATTCTGGATGACCTCGACGAAGAGACAGGAGAGCAAGCCGAATTGAGAGCCGGACGGTCCTGCCTAATTTAAAAAAAATGAAGATGATGGTCCATTTGTAATAGATGGAGATGTATGTGATATCAGTGGTAAAGACGTAAGAACAACGACGATGATTATGGAAAATAAGTTATGAATGAGACAAAAATGATAAAGTTACGCAAATTCAACAACAAAAATCATATACGCAAACAAACGACCCAGAACCTCTACAAGATGTGGCAAAAATATGACGCTAGCGAGGCAACCACCAAGGCCACTGACGATATAAATGGTGGCAATTCTTATAGTACCAGCTAATTTTTCCAAATCTCTCATAATAGTTAGCTGGAATACAACCGTCACTAAGAGGTGTACAACCCTGTTTGACGTATGTGTGTGTTTGTATGCTGTGTATGTGTACTAGATAGACAAATAAATAGACAATGAATGAATACACGAATGAATGCATGAATGAATGAATGCATGAATGCACAAGCAGATGAATGAATGAATGTTTGAATAAACAAACGAACAAATCAATTAACGAATGGACGGATGAACAAACTAACCCAGCATGCACAAATAACGAGAAGAAAAGTCTGTATATCTGATCTGGCCTGCCCTCGTAGAGAAATGGAACCATACCACATATCTCTTCCAAGCAGTTCACCTGAATATTAATACATTTCAGATTTAAAAGATTGAAAATCGTATCACACAAATTTATCATTAAACACATAACACGGCAACCCAGCTAGTGTATAGAAAGCATCTGCAAGCTAATAAAAATGTAACAATAGAACCCAAAAATTTAAAAACACATACTCATATACATATACAAAGACGGAGAAAGAAAAAGAGAGAAAGAGAAAGTAAAAGAATGATAATGAGAAAGAACGTGAGTAATAGAGAAAGAGTCCAAAGCCACAAACCTGAGAACAAAGGGTCAACCCATCGTGATAGTACCCCCTCTTAAACGTACAATCTTCCCTAGTGGTTATAATACATTGACCTTTGACACCCACGCAACAAGGTCGACCGGTGACGTCACAGGTCATGTGATCAAGGTCGTGGTCGTGGGGTGGGAGATCGTTGGAACCGTACGGCACCTCACAAACCTTCATTTTTTGGGAATTATTTTTGCGAAATTTAAAAACAATATTTTAATTATTTTATTATTATATAAATAAAATTATTTATTTACTTATAACAAATCGTAAAAAACTTGAAAGTTCTACAAAAATTATTTTAAATAAAATACAAAAAATAGCCAAATAAATACGTACGGGCCAGTCTATGATGTCATCGGGCCAGCTGTGTTGATGAAGTGGTGTGGCAGGTTTTGCACAATACCTTTTTAGATGCCGGTATTGTTATGTACAATACACATACATACATACATACATACATACATACATACATACATACATACATACGTACATACATACATACATACATACATACATACACACACACACACATACATACAAAAATACACATACATACAAAAATACACATGCATACATTCATAAAAATTTACAAACCTCGGATCTTGCTGACAGACTGGACCAGAGGATCGGTTGTATGGACCAGCATTGTTTTTCCATGTCTTCCAGACTAATGTGTTTGACTGAGGTAGTCATGATTATCGTCATCAGTATCATCATCATCATCGTTGTCATCATTCTCATCCTCACCAATAGAAACATCACCACCATAAATATCACAACTGCAGCTGAAGTACATAATGACAAGAATGAGAACAATAAAACAATAGTAAACCCCTCCCCACACCTTTCCACTCTCTCTCCCGAATGGAAAAGAGCAGCTGTCCTCGTCAGTCTGATAGCAGCCTGATCCGTCGATCCTCACACAACACCCGCTCTCTCTCTCTCTCCGTCTATCACTCTCTACGTAGCTCTCTATGACGTCATCCGACCGCATGCAGGGAGAATATTTGGCTCCCATGTGGATTAAGTCCGCCTGTTCGTGTTGGTAGGGTAGTTCAGAACAGAAAAAAAAGAAAGTGAAGAAAAGAGAGAGAAAGAAAAGAGAGATAGTGCGGGAGAAAGACAGAGAGAGAAGAAGAAAAACAAATTTGATATAATTGTAAAAAACTAGTTCACTGACAATAATATAACAACCTGTCTTAAGCCAAACCACATATTATTCTCTTCCTCGTAGCTGGATTCTTCTAAAGCCAAATTCGGCATTAAAACCTCTTCCGTAATGGTGCTAAATGATAAACCAAAAGGTGCCACGTCGTAAGCAGAAATGGCAAAGAGGTAGCATACAACTTGGACGAATGTGACCCAGCATGTAAAGTAAGGTCTGCGTGCGTGTAGTTGTTTGTTTGTGGCTGTTTGTTGAAGGTTGGTAGTTGACGCGTGTTAATAGTCATTCATTCATCCAACCAAACAATTAAACAGCAGCCTATCATCCAACCAACCAACCAACCAACCAACAAACCAATCCACTATTGAATCAGCCAGCTAACCAACCAACCAACCTATGATCCTCCATTTCATCAAGCTGTCTTCTCACACTACTATCCAATCTAGACTTCCTATACTCGGCTTCGGCCAGAAAATTTGCCATAGCTACCTTTCTTAAATTTCTCCTGTCCAATAAACTTTTTCTAGATTGTTCCATTATACGATCATTTATTCGCTGCATCGGATTGAATGACGATGGCGTTACTACTGATGCAGTTGCAATAGTAACAGAGTTTTGATTTCTTACAGCTCTCGTTGTTGTTGGTGTCATAGCTGCTGTTGTGGGTCGTTGCTGTTGTTGAATGTGAATTGAATTAAATGATACTAATAAATAATCTTTGAATGTATTATCAAAGAAATATTTGAAGTTGTATGTATTTGTGTATATGTAGAGTACATATGTGCATACGTACAACTATGCATCTGTGTTTGTGTGCGTGCGTGTGTGTGTGTGTGTGTGTGCGCGTGCCACTACTTGAAACACTACCACTAATAGCACTACGACTACTACTACTACTACTAATAATAATAATAATAATAATAATAATAATTAATAGCAACAACACAACTCTATGAGATAAACATATTTATTTGTACTTGCAATTGTATAAAGGGATGATGATGATGATGATTATGCAAAAGATGATCACTACCATCACCACCACCACCACCACCACCACCACTATTATCAACGCCATCTTCATTTGGATGTTTGTCATGTTGCAGCTGCTGTAGTTGCTGCTGTTCTAGTTTCTGTTCGACTAAAAGCTGTTGCCTGATGTTATGGTTTTCAATATGGTGAAGACTCAGTGGATGGATGTTGCTTTGTTTCTTTGGGTTGTATATGGAAGGGGCGAGGATGGAGGAAGTGGGCGTTGGCTCGTTGAAGAAAACATCGTCCAAGATGACGTCATCCGATGTTGTGTTCATCGTCGACGTTTCTGCATGCGGAATCTAGTTCATGTGTTCGTTTTGTATTATTGTAGAGTTTGTGTTGTGGTCGCTCTAAAATACATACAATTATAATTTCACGAAAATTATCTCAATCGTGAAATAATATAATTAAATATTATTATAGCTATAATAATTATTTATAATAAAACTGACATCTTGCTTGATCTGTTGCATGGATATGCTTCTCCTGTGCAATGAGTACGTTGTGTCTAACTTAACTGATGGTGTCTGGGAAAATACAAAAATAAAATTAAAATATTTACGAATAATGATAAATTATAAGTAATAAAATAATAAGGAAAAGTTGTGACAAGATCAATGTACGTGCGTGCGTGCGTGTGTGTGTTGAGAAGGTTGACAACCCAATTCAAAATGACACTCTATCTAGTAAAATAACATTTTGTTCAAGCAAAAATGTAACCAAAAAACTAACAACAGCTTGCTTAATGCCAATGAAGGCCATCTTGAAAACAGATTCCTTGGCCCCCACTCGAATGGGGTTGTACTGTCTCATAGCCCTTCGACTCGAACTTGTAGTCGAGATTTTTGATATTTGCCTGTTTGCCATAGGCCTGCATTTACAATATTTTAGACAATAATTGTGCAAATAAAAACAAAATTACATGATTTTACACAAATAAATTAAAATATTTATATAAATTTATTTAAAAAAAAAACTAAAAAACACCAAAAAAACAAACCTACTAACCTGATATTTTTTGATAAGGGATCGACGATATTACAAGCATTGTTAGATCGGTTGTAGTGGACCACATTGGGCATCACGTGGACACTGGACCCCCCAAAAACGTCATCGCAATAGAGGTCGTCCCTGTACTGGCCGACAAGTCTGTTGTTACATCTTCTCCTCCTAATGTGCTCCTTCCATTTTTCGACAACTTTTTTTTCATATACATCATCGCTCACACCCAGCCATGTCACAAAACTGTTTATAACGCTCCTGTTTTAAATGATGTTGGATAAGCTGGCTATTTTCAAGAGTTGCCAGTCAAAAAATAAATTTAATTATATTAAAAAAAAATGACTATGCTAACTTTGAGTGTTGTAACGATTTATTAGGATTAGGCTTGCTGTAATTAGAAGTCATCGGCATTGGGTGAGTAAGAAGGCTATAAATTAATTGAATAAAATTAAATATGAATAAAAATACTAGCTTTGTCTTTACACATATTAACAAAATTTTAGATGTAAAAAAAGTGCTACAGATTACAAACAACCTGTCATTAGGCTCAAATTTCATTTCATCATCAACGACAACATCCGAATGCTTCTGCCATGGATCGCTTTCACACGAAGGCCTACCAATTATATTGGAATCGCCACTTTCACTGATTATCACACTCATCTTAGGTTTTTTACTACCAATTTCCATCATCTTCTTCGTGCTTTTAGTTCAGTTTTTAGTGTTTAGTTTGAGTCTGCTAGCAGCTAGCTTGCCCATCTACAATTCTATAGAAAAACTGGTGGAGAAGGTTAATACAAGAGAAGAGGTCAGTACAGAAACAGTCCAGAATTGTGACGAGTACTGAAACATTGTTATTAAATTTAAATAAAAACATGAAAAATAATATAATTATCAATTCAATTATTTATTAGAAAGTTGTAACTTTTAAAAAATCGAGTTTTAAAAAGCATTTTTCAATATTTTGATGAAAAAATATGTTTAATAGGAAAGAAATTAACCAATGGAAGCTGGTTGTTTGAGATTTGTTAATTAAGTTAACAGAGAATACAATAACAGCTACACAGCTCTACCTGTTTTATCTATTAGAGACTACTAATAGTATTAGTAGAAAATGATTTAAAACTTATGTATGTCATATATAATATATATATATCAAAATCAAACAAACCCTGACACTTAACGTTTGCTAGCTTTTCGCGAAGCGTTTGTTAGTTTTTCTCAGTTGGCGTACTCAAGATGTCTGCTCTATTCGAACGTTATTTAATACAAAATCCCACATTTAAACTTCTCTAATTCGGAATTAAAATAGAAACGTTTTAATTATAAACACTCCCCAGTGCCTAAATACTAAATCTAAAGACTGAAACCAAGAAAATTTTTGAGCTGAACTACGTTCTAGTTGAAGGTAAATGTAAAGAAATTATAAAAAAGTCCGGTCCGTCAATGTTTTTCATTTATTTAAGAAAATTAATCTTTAAAAGTTAATCTTTATTATTAATATTATTTTTAATATTATTAGTATTATTATGCAAATTGAAACATTATCATAATTTGGTAAAATTATGGATGTTTTTTAATGGTAAAATTCTGAAAAAACGAAATTTCAATTCGATCATTATGGGAGATAGAGAATAGAGGATAGTCCAATGAATGGAAATCTGTAAATATGAATATTAAATATTAGATGTCAATCAATCAATTAATCAATCAATCAATCAATCAATCGATCGATCGATCTATCAATCTATTTATCTATCAATCAATCAATCAATCAAACAATCAAACAATCAATCGATCGATCGATCGATCAATCAATACATAAATTAGATGAAATGTAAGAAATGCTAACATAAGTTTGTTGTGATGGTGTCTCAGAATTTTCTATAACTCAGAACCACCGACCAATTCACTGCATGATTGTTCACTCTGAAAAAAACCGATAGACATGTAAATATATACGTAGTGTAGTTCATACACATACACACACACGCATACACGACTCACACATATACACACACGCAACACAACAACACACGTAAAAACACCCCCATCAAACTGCATTCAAACCTCGATAAGTTCTTTGATGGACGGATTTTCAGAACTCTTATCTTCACCATCGTCGCTACTACTAAAGCTACAGTCGCAAAATGTATGGCCACCATTTTCGTTATCGGTAGATTTTCCCGCCAAATCTGATGACGTCATTTTCCTGTCGTAGTACACGTACTCTGAAGATAATGAAGCGCTTTTAATAGGTCTTTTCGTCAGGCATATTGACGATTTTCGGTGTCCTCTGAATAAGCTTATGATGAGTTCGTCATTTGGGGTTATTATTTTCACGTCAAACTAATATTAACAGTGATAATAATCGTTATTATTTAATAATTAAAATAAAAACAAACTAACTCAAAAGATTTTCCAAGGCCTTTACACTTCAAACACCTCTCTTGATCACCAGAAAGAAGAGGGGTCCAATGGGCTGATTCGGTCCCAATAACTTCGCCCCCGTTTTCATTATTAGTTTGCGCTATATAAGTACTTCTGCTGATAACATTCACGTCTGCTTCGTTGTTACTACAGCTGTTAACATCTGAAGTGTTATTTACATTTTCGCTATTAATATTCATGTCCATTTTATCATTATCGTTTTTATGATTAGTAGCAGCAGCAGTAGTGGTAGTATTAGTAGTAGCAGCAGCAGCTGTAGTAGTAGTAGTAGTATTATCATTATCATCATCGCCATCGACGTCTTCATCATCCTTGACAGGTGTATGTTGTTGTTGGCCAGTTGAGTTAATGACGCTACCTCTTGGGCTTATGCTGCTTTCATCAATGCAAGATGAGACTTCAGATTTTGAATATAAGCGACTACAATCATCATCGTCATCATTATCATCATCGTCGTCCTTTTTACTCTCATCATTATCAAGACTATCTTCATCATCATTGTTGTCGTTATCGTCCCCATCATCATTCCTACCCAAGCTTTCTACATCCTCATGGTTATAATAATTTTTTACGCCATTATCATAATTTTTAACGCAAAGATTATTACCTTCGTTATCATCAACATCAACTAAGCTATCATTCATCGTTACGTCACATTCATTCGTCGTGTAGCTAGTGGCCGATGTAGTAGCTGCTACTACCCCTACATCAGAGACTGATTTTTCAGCGGCATTTTTTCGGTAGTTTAAAAAAATCTGTGTGCTTTTGCTATCGTCAAACCAACAATTTCTGTTATCATCTTCATCATCTTCGTCCTCTTCATCTTTTTCATCATCATCATCGTCATCTTCTCTTTCTTCAGCCTCAGTGACGTCATCTTTGATTGCGTCATTATCATTAATATCATCGTTATTATTTTCGCCGGGTCTTTTTGACGTGACATTATTATTAGCATCATTTTTATCAACTGACGACAGCAACGTATCTTTAGTGAGTAGGCTTTCGTCATCATCATCGTCATTATTATCATCATCGTCATCACTTTGATC